GCCAGCGAACACGGCTCGACAGTTGATAGTTCTTCGTCATTTAGAGTACGACCACCGGAACGAGGACTCCTGACCTCGGCGTAGTGTTCGTCCAGCTCAACATCAGGACCGTCGGTAAGCTCCGTAGTGCGACGTTCACTCTCACGAACGAGCTTTCCACTCGCCTCCACAGAACTCGAGACGTTCGGAGTACTATCCGAGGGAATACTCCTTCGAAGAGTCTCAACTTCAGGTTCGTCTTTGTCGTCTTCAACAGCCCAGCTAACGGCTTTACTGTCGCTAACAGAGTCCGTCGCTGTAGGTTTGTCCTTCTTGCCTAAGAAACCCCAGAAGCCGACACGAGGCTTGTCTTGAGACTCGCTCTCTACAGTGATACCAACTGTGTCGGTATCCACAGGAGCCACCGCGTCGTGGTAGACACGTCCGGACTCGAGCTCTTCGTCGACCTGCACTGTCGTCTGCGTCATCTCGACTCGAGGGTCGGTGGTAGGCTTGACATTCTGGCCAGCAGGTATCGACTCAACCTGGGTGGCTTCGCCTGCAGTCTGGGTCGAGTTGTGCTCGTCCTGTTGCTGCCAGGACTGACGAGCTTCACTGGCTGAAGGAACAGGAGTGGTTGTTGTCTGTTCCTCGTCTTCAGCGAGAGGAGACTTGGGCTTGTCGGCACCCCAGAACTTCCAAATGCTGCGTCCGGCCTTACGCTGCGACGTCTTCGAGAACGAGTCGGAATCCTCCGTCGTGTCCTCAGGGATGTTCGAGGATGCCGCATCGATTGGAGCAGCAGCCGTAGCAACGACAGCTTCGTTACTACGGGACTTGGAAGCTGGAGAGGTGACAGACTCAGTTGCGGGCTGTACGTTTACAACTTCAGCTTGCACGGTCTCCACTGGAACGGGGACCTTGTCCTCTTCCGTGGTTTCTGAAGCAGAGACAGGTTTCTCACCGTCGCTGTGTGGCTTGTGGTCCACCTCGTTGATGACGAGAGAGGTTCTAACATCACCCGATGATACCGGTACTTCCACGACTGGCGTGGAAAGAATAGGAGCAGCATCTTCGCTGATCTCCACGACCATTTCGTCTTCAGCGTTGAGCGTCTGCGGTGTCTTCGACTCCGTAGGACCCGCAGCACCGGGCAGTGCTGTATCTCCACCGGTCGATAGAGAGGTCTCAGCTCCATCATTCGGAGTGGGAAGAGCAGCATTAGACTCCTTGGGTTCCCCCTCGGTCTTACCGAAGAAGCCCCAGAAGCCGCCACTACCACGACGAGTGTGTTGTGGGCTTGTCGAGTTCTTCTCTGTAGCAGCAGTGCTAGACGCCTGATTCGTAGAGACAGCCTCAATGCTCGTGGCTGGAATTGGAGCCTTGTCCTCTTCATCCAAAGCGTCAGTACTCTCCACCGCAGCTCCTTGGTTCGAAGTTGACGCGTTCTGGTTCGAAGAGTTGACAGTACGCGAGTCCACTTGACGCTTTCCACTGCCCGGAACCACGATTCGCTCCGACACAGTGTAGCCTCCATGACTAGAGCCACCGACGGACTCGTCACTGCTTTCTCCACTCTGGACAAACTCGTCAAATTCCAGACCGTCCTCTTCTTCTGCACCCTTACGAACAACCATGCGTCGGACCACACGCTGTGGCGTTACCACTCGACGAGTGATGACACGCTGACCCGGAGTGACCGTCAAGCCTCCTGCTTCAGCGTCTACATACTGCGCGTCTTCCTCTGATTCAGAAGAGTTGGAGCCGCCCTTCACGACTGTACGTCGAACAGGTGAAGCTACCACACGACGCGTTACTCGTCGACTGGTACCACTAGAAGGCTCACTAGTGACACTGCTAACGCTACCTGTGAAGCTCCCAACGCTCACTAAAGTGTTCTCTTCGATGACGTTCCCTTCTGCGTCCACTTCCTGTTCGACAGGCACTTGCGTACCGTCCTCACGCACCACCATGCGTCGAACCACGCGACGTGAGACCGTCGTCCGGCTTGAAGACGGGGGACTCGACTGTGTGCTTGAACTGGAGCCTGGTGCTTCGCTTCCGTCGACGACGTTCCCATCTGCGTCCAAATACTGCGCTACTTCATGCACTTGGCCGTCTGCACCCGTTTTACGGACTATAACCCGACGAGTAGTCTTGCCCGGGGTCACAATTCTCCGTGTAACCACAGTAC